CTTCTGTTCTAGAGTGTCAGGCATCCTCCACCTTCTGTTCTAGAGTGGCAAGCATGCTCTGCCTTCCTTCTGTTCTAGAGTGGCAGGCATCCTCCACCTTCTGTTCTAGGGTGGCAGGCATCCTCACATCTCTGGACTCTCATTTCTACATGTGTTTTATTCACTTCACTGATTTCTGAGCTGGTTCACAGCAGTCAGCAGTGGGTGAGTAGTGGGTGATAAGAATGAGTAGAGACAGGATAGTTATAAATCAGCTAGACAATGCTTCTAAGAAGTAGAAGCAAGTACCTCTGGGAGGATGTGACTGTGTTTATCCTGTTGCTATTGTTTGGGGTCACAAATCAGGGTGTCACATCTGATCTGACTATCCAGACTAGGAGCTGAGATGAGGGGGCGGGAGTTCTTTAAGACTATGTCTTTAACCCATCATGGCGACACTTGCCATGGTCTGATCACTGGGCTTTCACTAGGATCTGCGTACAAAGAAGACTCACGTGAACTATGAACATACACTGGAGGCTACTTGTCTTGGCCAACAGCTGAAGGAACACAAAAGAGCCTGTCTGAGTAGGAGTGCAGCCATCTTTCAGATCCTACTTCCAAAAACTAACAGGCAGGTTTGAGAATTCGAGGTTTGAGAGATAGGTATAACAGGATATTGCTGCTTCTGGATGGATACCAGTATTTGTGGAAACAGCAAGGCCTCTATATACCAGCAAAGAGCAGGTTCTGAACCTCTGATCTGGACTCAGATTAAACAAAAAGCATTTGAGGTTTTAAAACAGCTCTGATCTCCACTCAAGCCCCCTAGACTTTCCAGGATGTCTTGAAACCTTCTGTTTGTTGATAAGACAGAAGACAAAGGGAGTTTTTAAACCAAAAGTTGGGGTCATGGAAATGCCTTTTGCCATACCTGTCTGAACAACTGTAGCCCCAGGATGGCCCATCTGAAAGATGTAGCAGCTACTGCTAGTCTAATTAATAATGATAAAGATAATAATGTTAACTCTGGGTCAAGAGCTTATGCTCACAGCACCCCATGACATAGTCGAGGCCCTTCTTTAAGGAGCACCAGAACACTGTCTAATGCCTGTGTGACCCAGTTCCAGGCCCGACTCCTGGTCCACCCTTCAGTCCATTTTGAAAAACCCACCACTGTCAATCCTGCTGTCCTCTTGCCTGATGACCACCCACAAGTGCTCATCCATGACTGTCAGGAGATGAAAGATGAAAACAGGTATGTGGGAGCTGCAGTGGTTACTTTAACTGAAAGGATTTGGGTCCAAACCAGGTGTCTCAGCCCAGAGAGCAGAACGGATCTGACCCAGGCTCTCAGGTGGGTAAAGTCCACCACCATATGCACTGACAGTTGCTATTCTTTTATTAGCAGACATGTCCATGGTATGATCTATAGAGAAAGAGGGTTTCTCGGTGTTGTAGAAAAGGACGCTAGAAAATCTTGGCCCTCCTAGAGACTATTTGGTTTCCTCTATGAATTGCTGTTCTGCCCGACTGCTGAGCTGGCTACCAGACAAATGGCTCTAAGACCAATGAGTCTATTGATACTCTGATGACGTATCCTGATCTGGTACTGGCTGAGAATCCATGGAAGAAATGGACAGCTCAAACAGGTTGATAGAGGATCCCAGAAAGAAAGATTATTCTCTCAGAAACAACTGTCAAGATTCTGGCAACTGACCTTCACCAGGCTACTCATTTGGGGTCCACAAAAGTTCTGAGCTGCTCAGACCAGGGTATGTTAAATCTAGAATGGATAGCCTCATGTGGGATATCTCAGCCAGGTGGCCAGGTTTGTGCTCAAGTAAATCCAAAACAGAGAGCCCTTTCCCAGGAAGGGGTCCAAATGAGAGGTCAACACATCACAAAACAGTAAAACTGACTTCACCAAGATTTAGCTTGCAAGGGGAGGATCAAAACAAAACAACAAAAAGAAAAAAAAACAGTACTTGCTGTAGAGGCATATGTGGGAGGAGTAAAGAGAGGAAGAGGAGGAGGAAGGAGAGAAAAGAGAATGAGGAAGAGGAGGAACAAGGAGAAGCAGAGAGGTAGGCACCATGGATGACCACACATGTGCCGAGAACTATCCTAGGTAACAACTTATATCTAGGTTAGTTAATTGGGAAACACCTCTAATTGTGTGGGTATCTTGTTAATTGAGCATTATCAAACATATAAAGCCTTTGATTAATCTTTAAGTGGACAGTCTGGGCTCAGCCCAGCCTTGTGGAGACAGCGTGGAAGATTGGCAGAGCCATCTCCCACATTGGCGACTCAGTGGGTGGCAGGGCCGGTGTCTCTGGCTGCCTGAGAAGGTGGCCTGAGCTGAGCGGCACTCCGCTGCCACTCGTGGCCTCAGGCCTAGCCTAGTCAGGAACATAGCAGCTCTGTAACATAAGACAGATTGGGTGCAGCAGTTTTAAATATCTCCTGCAACAACTTGCTAGTTTTTCCAGAGTGGATATCTGCTCAGATAGTAGCTTTAAAAGCTCCTCCAGATTCTTTTGGCCTCCATGTCCCCTGATTTGGCCTTCTCCTATCAATGGGGTAATCCTGACAACTACCTAGCTTATAGCCAAAGCCTATTAATTAATACCTAAAGCTTTAGGCATTGTTTGAAAACTTTATTGCACATACAGACTTCCAAGTTGTGGCCAGGTAAAAAAAAAGAATAAACAGAATATAAAAAGAAACCCTAACAAGACTCTCATTAGAGTCCAGTGAAGGGTAGATAGGCCTCCTTCCTTTGCTTTGGACCTGTTATACCCCATATAGGGAAGGATTTACTCCCTAGTAGATTATATTTGGAAGACATCCCCCACTGTCTCCCAGGCTCAGAGAGCAGCAGTTGGAAGAACTATCTGAATATTTCTCCCTCAAGTCACTATAGACCCTCAGTCTTGGACTATCTGAGAGACCCAGGCGACCTCCAGGTCCACCACCAGTTTCCACTTGTCCGAGTCTGATGATACCAAATCAAGTGGCTACCCTAAAGGGCACTGAAAACAACCTGGACAGGACCCTACACAGTGATTCTTTCTACTCCTATGGCCGTGAAGGTAACTGGCATTACAATGTGGATTCACTGCATCCAGGTCAAGAAAGCAGAAGCTACAGACACTGCTGCAAATGGAATACTGTCCCCTGGACTATGACCCACCAAAATTAAGGTTTCATTGGGCCTCAAAGAAGTTTCCATTGTAAAAATTAGGGTTGTGAAACTGAGGCTTCCTAAAATTATTCTTTAAAAAAGATTCTGGCCTTTGGGAAACAGGAAAAACCTGCGGAATCAGACTCTATGCCACAGGAAGGCCCCTGGGGTTACAGTTAATCATCTCGAGCCAGAAGTTAGCCAGAATTGCTGGTTATGCTTAGACACCCCAGCCTCCATAGTACATAAGGATAAGAACTAAGCAGACTGTCAGTTTGCTGACTGACAAAATTTATTGTGACTAGGAATAACACAAATTAATATTAGAAGACTTACAAGGGCCTGAAACTTGCCCAATATCCAAAACCTTTAACAGAAGCAGTTTCCCTCATTCTGATGCCTGCTATTCTGCATTACAGGCTAAACCATCTGGATAGCAACAATATCACCAAACCCCTGACTATTTAGTGGGCATGTACTAATGGTTTGGCTAAATATGTCTCTCCTGATGGTTTCAAAACTAACTAGACAGTTTGATCAGGACCCAGAGGTATTGAAAGTTTCCATTTCTGAATTAAAACAGTAGTTAGATTCCCCTGAAAAAACTATCCTACAAAATTGGAGAGGCTTAGACTTCTCATGAGATGAAGAAAACTATGTCTAGCCTTGGGAGGAGCCTGTTGTTTCTATGCTAATTGATCAGGGGTAATTAGAGAAAATCTTGCTATGGTTGGAGAAAACATCAAAAGAAAGAAAGAAAGAAAGAAAGAAAGAAAGAAAGAAAGAAAGAAAGAAA